CGTCCTGCCGGCGGAGGGCGAGCGGCTTCGCGTGCGGGGGAGCCCCGCGTCCTCCCCGGATGGGCTAGCCGAAGTCGGAGACTCACCCGCGTGGCCCGGCCACACGTGTTCCCATTTGTGTCCCCCGTGCTTCAGGGATAGATCGCGGGTCAGTTTTGTTGTGGGTCTCTTCTAAATTGATTTGCTTGGACTGCGTGGAAGGATTGGAAGGAAGTCGATTCTTGGGCACGATTTTTTAATGAAACAACCCCATCTCAGCTACGGTATGCACCGCGTTTGAAAACCGGCCCTTGGAGAGCAGCCCGATGCGTTTGTTTCTTGCCATGTGGTGCACGTCTCCAAGCCGAGCAAGTAGGAGAGGACGGCGCCGGCGGTTCCTCCTCTGGAGTTTTACACCTTAGGGGTCAGTGAGACACGCATGTGTGAAAAAGGCAGGCGTGCGCGCGCGCGCGCACTTTTTTGGATCAGAAAAAAAAAGAAAAAAAGATAGGATCTTGCTAGCTAGGCTTTTATATTTCATATATAACTCAAGAGGAACGAGACGTTAAAACGACGACACACATTTCTTTACTACTTTCAACGAACTAAATAAGGAAAAAGGGGACGATCTCAAGGTCGCAGTTACCAGGGAGGCTGATAAAGGTTTTTAAAAGAGCATGTAAGGAACGATTACAGGAAAATCTCATTACAGAAAAGACAATACTGGTAACTCTGAGAAGGAAAAAAGAAAAAAAGAAGTTAGGCATAGTATGATATGAAACTTTTAACATGATTCTATTCTATTTGGAGCAAGAAAATAAACGGGAGGCAACAGCTCTTCTTTGAGAAAACAAATAACATTAAGAGAAAAGATAAATATAAGTATATAATTTCCTTTCTGAATCTATAGTCTCTTCTAGGTAGAACAGTCTCGATCTTTACTAGAGAAGAGACTAGAGAGAATTAAAGTCAAAAGGGCTGGAGGGAGCCGGTGAGAAAGCCTGGGGCTACTTAAATTAATTCGAATATCACACTCAGATGAGTTACATCCAGAGCACTGGGACGATGGTACCAGTATCAACACAGCAGCCACCTTGTTTGGATACTGCTCAGATAGAATAGAATAGCTGCCTTCACATATTTCCCTAATCTTCAACATACATTCTAACACGTATTTTATCCTTATTTAATAAAGGGAAAGACAGAAATTCAAAGGAGTAAGTAAATTGACCATCGCATAGCTAATAAGAGGATCATGAATTCAAATTGAACATGTCTTTCCCAGTATGTAGAATTGCTATTTGCCTGTGTGTGCAGAATTATCTGTGATAATATTTGGTAAATCCACATGTAACAGACAAGAGGCCAGAAGAATGGGCGTATAGAAATATTCTAGTTTTCAAAAATAAAGACAGATTCTGATATCCCTAAAGCGATTAAGTTTAAGATCAATTCCTGGCAACATCCTATAAAAGATCATGAAATAAATCATTTGCCAGTAGTCAGAAAAAAAAGGAAACCTACAATTTAATAAAAAATATCAGAATAACTTCATTTCTAAACATAAATTTATCTTGTCCGTTAAGATCATATGTATGGTATTTCCTGATGTCAGCCAGCCTTTCAATTATCTTTATGGACAAGATAAATGTAAATTGTATGTTAATAGTGAACAAACAAACAAAAACTAGCAGTTTAGACAAAGTTACCACAAGTATCTTGGTAAGTCGATTAATGCTGGATCAGAGTAAAGTATTTGTTCTGAGCTTCATGCCTATTGTTCTCTGGTTTATTAAATTATATTTAAAAGAAAAATATAAAAGGGATATTTATTAGATGTGAGAATGAACCAAATCAGGTCAGTGCTAATTTAATAAGATGCCGAAAGTCAGAACCTAACGAGCACTGTATTTGGATATTGATCTGAAACAAAGATAAACTAGAGCCGAAATGCATTTTGAAATCCTGCATTTTAAGTTTGTTTTTTTTAAAAAAAGGATGAACATAGGATTTATTTATTCAATTATTAAATGAGACTTTGGTTGTGGACAAGACACATAGCTAATAGCAAACTTACCTTTGCACCATAAAATAACTACAAAATATAGAAAACAACACTTTCAGTTATAAACAGCCGCCAACTTGAGGCTGCAATCTCTAAGTAAGAGGAGGCACGTGAGGGTCCCATTCCCTGGATTTTTTGATTATGGGCCATTTTTTTTCTAGCAGAAGTGCTGGGAGGCTGAGACTAAGCAGGGAGCTCCCGTCTCTCTGGATGGAGGACACATAGCGCAGGGGCCGAGGCTGCAAAGGGAACAGAGTTGGGAGAGAGCGAGGGGACACAGTGGCACAGAGGCGGGGCCACGGAGAGGAACCCGCAGTTTATGTGATTATCCTCTGAATTCCTAGGCTGCATGTGCCCAACGGGGTAAGATTCCGGTGGCCTGATAAAGTGTAGTGGCTGAGAGGTGGAAATTTGAGGAGAGATTCTAGAAATCACACAATTCTATGGAAGATAATGAAGTTTGGGCCTAGCCAGTGTGGAAAGACCTTGATGAATATTTGGCTGGGCCCCCCGAGCATGTTTTCGAGAGGTGATAAGGATGCCCTGGGAGAAAGAATAAAACCAGAGTAGATTTGCCCTAATGAAACTTAAAATAGGCCTTTGGAGGATTCAGGTGATCACCTGCTAGAGCAGCACTCAACGTTTATTAGAGGAAGAAAACATAAACTAGAAACTCTGCGGATACAATATGCAATAAAAACTTGACAGACGTGCAAAGAAGCAGAAAAAAGTGGTGGTTGTGACAAAAAAAAAAAAAGATAACATGGTCAACAGTCAATAGACAAAGACCAACAAATGATCCAGATTTTGGAATTAGCCAAAAACTTCAAATAGCCAAAACAAATAAATAAACTACCCCGGAAATGGGCAAAATGAATGAAAAGATAGAGTATTTCAGCAGATTATTAGACTCTAGAAAAAAAATAATAATTAAATGAGCTTTTCGAACTGCTAAATCAAGACTATTTAAAAATCACTAGGCACAACGGAAGAGAGGGCTGATGGTCTCAAATAAACATCAACAGAAAATATCCAGAAAGAGAAGAACAGAAGCAATATTCGAAGAAATAATGCATATGAACTTTTCACATCGGATGAAAGATTTCAATCCAGAAACTCAAGAACTCCAATGAACCCTAAGCAAAGAACATGTCACCTAGGTCCGTAACAGCCAAGCTGCTGAGGACCAAGTAGACGCTAGGAGCAAGAGCTGCTTCAGTTTGGATGGGCAGGGAAGGCGTTTCCGAGAAGGCAGCGTCTGAGCTGACAGCTAAATGACAACAAGGAGCTGGTCCTGAGATGCCCAGGAGAATCGATATCCAGACAGAGGGACCCGCAGTGCGAAAGGTGAGGATGCACTGGCCATATGTGAGGAACCGGAGGAAGGGCAGTTTGGGGGGTGACCACAGCAGGGGAGACCGGCAACGGCAGAGGGGCAGAAGTGCTTGGGGTTACGCCCCAGAGAACTGCGCTGTCCAGTGTGGGAGCCAAGAGCCCTGGGCCCTGGAAGCCCAGCGAAGTCTGGAAGGAGATGTGCAGCCTGCGGCCATGCTTCGCTGGGCAGCTCTAACCCGGGGACTCGAGGGGCACAGTCAGAAGTTGCAGTCCGTTTGGGGTACGATGAGAAGTATTTACAAGATTCTAAGGGGGCGATATGATTTACCCTTTAGGGAGATTCCATTGGTGCTGTGCGGAGAAAGGTCACGAGGGTGACGGGGAAGCCAGGCCTGCGATGGTCGCCGGCAGCTCAAACCGGGACAGTACGGAGATGGCGAGGACAGGGTAGATTCGGAATTTATTTTAAAGGCTGAGATGTAGGAGGAAGAGACGGCTCCCAGTTGCTGAGTCACTGCGTAAGCGGGCAAGTGGACGGCTGCGGCGCCGCTTAATGGGACCGGCGGGATGGTGGTAGCAGTGGGTTTGAGAGCAGGAGAAACACGAGTTTTAATCTGGAGCTTTTTGCTATTAGCATTAGCATTGCGAGTGCACTCAGCACGGGGCGGAGAAGACCGGGCTGGGGAGAGGAGCCGGAAGCTGCAGGACCCTAAGTGCGCCGCGTTCATGTCCCGGAAGCCAAGTCGATAGCTTGTTTGAAAGGGCAGGGAGTGGTTCACCGAGCCACATTCTGGTCAGTGGGGAAAGCGGGTGTGAGCATAGACTCTACCGGGACATCTGGCAGCGTGGAGACGGCAACCTTGACGAGAGCAGTTTCTTCAGGTGGCAACAACAAATGTCC